GACAGGACAGGACAGGACAGGACAGGACAGGACAGGACAGGACAGGAAAGGAAAGGAAAGGAAAGGAAAGGAAAGGAAAGGAAAGGAAAGGAAAGGAAAAGAAAGGAAAGGAAAGGAAAGGAGAAGAGGAAGGGGGCAGAGAAAAGGCGGTTGGGAAAAGAAGAGAGAGGGGAGGGTGGAGGGGAGGGTGGAGGAGAGGGAAAAAAGGAAGGGAAAGGAAACCGAACACCACCCATGTTGCAGAGCTCTGAGAAATTTAGAGTCACATGTCATGAACTGCCAGGAATGTGAGGAAGACCATTGCTGTTGGTTTTAGATAGGGCCAATGCTTCACACAAGATGCCTTGACTCATGCTACAACCTACGGGTATCACAGGACATCAGGTTCCTGCTTTTCTGAAGATGTGTGACGTCACAGAGAGCAGGGCTATGTTTATTCTCTGCTCAGTAACTCCTGTCACCAAGCTCAGTGCTCTGATCAAGTTCTTGTTGAGTTAGTTATTATTTTAAGATGTGCTACATTTGTTTATGTTGTAGAATACTTGTTTAATGATGCAAAGATGTGTTGTATTCTCTTATGTTGCATCTGTTTAACTCTGTGAAGCTGTGTTACTTTGCCTGTCTAAAATACCTGATTGGTCTAATAATAAAGAGCTGGACAGTCAATAGCAAGGCAGGAGAAATGATAGGAGCGGCTGGCAGGCAGAGAGAATAAATATGAGGAGAAATCTGGGAAGAGAAGATCAAGGAGGAGCAAGAAAAGAAGTAGAACATCAGGGGGTAGTAATCTAGCTACACAGTAAACCTCAGAGTAAGAATTAAAGAAAAGTATATAAAATAAAGAAAGATAAAGGCCCAGAGGCAAAAGGTAGACAGGCTAATTTAAGAAAAGCTGGCTAGAAAGCCAAGCTAAGCCTAGGCAGTCATCACTAAGAATAAGCCTCCGTGTGATTTATTTGGGAACTGGGTGGGCAGGCCCCCCAAAGAGCAAAGAGCAATAAGAATAACAAAAAAACCCAAGTACAAGTTCCAGTTCATGTTGCTGCTACTGATCCTAGACTTGCACAACACAAAGCGAACTCCATGGATGAGTACCTGCCCCCTCAGCAAACAGACTATGATGATATAGCAAGAAGGAAAAACAAGCATTTACAGACTTTCACAATCAACAAACGGGAAATGTTCCTATGTGAGTAAGAGACATAAATATGGGCTGGCACATTCATTTCTATGGCTCAATTTTTCATTATCTTTTTCCAATAAAAGGAAGTTTTGGACCCAGCTTCATTTTACCTCCTCTTCCCTACTCTGCCACTTGTATTTTACCTATTGACCAAAATTCTCTTCCCCAAATACTTGTTCCTGGACATAACCTCTTGGCTGCCCAGATGGCACACTCGTGGTCTCCTATCTGCTGGCACCTCCCTCATCTCCCTACCTACTAAAGTAGTACCTGTAGCTTTGGTATCAGATATTTGTTTTTTTTTCTCCTCAATCCAGACATCCTCTTTCTGGTAAATCCCATCCAGTCTCCTGGAGCAAATGTTATTGTTTTCACAGTTTTATTTCTAAAATGCTAGTTATTCATATATAGCAAAAAACTGTTCGGGCATGGGGGAGCATGCCTGTAATCCCAGAACTCAGCAGGCTGAGGCAGGAAGATACAGAGTTTGAAATGAAACCCTACCTCAAAAAGAAAGAAAATGAAGCAACAGCATAACCCTGAATTTTGTACCTTGCTTATTTCCAGCATCCTTGCAGTGCCTACTTGTCAGTTCTAAGACTGTCCATAGAGTTTTTAAGGTTTTCTACAGGTAAGGCCATGTCACCCAGATACCTTTTATTGGGTTGAGGAAGTTTCCTTCTATCACCAGTTGGTTGACAGTTTCTCCTCATTCTTACCATCTCAATCGATGGCAAGTTCGTTCTTCTACTAACTTACGTCAAAAATCTTGGTATCTCTCTTGTTCCTTGTATCTAGCCAAATCATGAGCATCATCTCCTTCCAAACAAATTCAGAACCCTGTCATGACACCCTCCCCCACTCATGCTTCTGGTCCATGTTACCATCGCCGTTCTCAGCACTGGTTACAAGTGTCTTAATTGACCTCTGTCCCGCCCCTGTCTCTGATGACCTGGGCTACTCAAAGCATGGCTCCCAAAGTGGTCTTGTACTTTCTTTTCTCTTTTTTAATGGAAGCCAAATTGTGGTCACTAGTCCTCCCAACACCCTCTGGTGACTTCGTACAGATCACAGTGATTTCTGATTCTTGCTACAGCCCATGAAATTCTCCCCACTTTCCCCTTACTTCACTCTAACTACTTTGGCCCCTAGCTGGGCCTCAAGCACACCCAGTGAGTTCTGCCCTCGAGCCTCCACACCTGTCCTTCCTTCCAGCAGCAACGTTGTCCCTCGACCCTCATAGACACGCGTCCACAGGTCAGATACCACCTCATCAGACACCTCATCAAATACTCTCCTCTCTCCCTCCTCATCTACTCCTGGTTTTCCCCCATCCTGCATTATTGTCCAAACAACACAAAGTGTCACACGCTCCACACACTATCTATCAACTAGATAGATAACCCAGTCTAGAACACAGCTTGACAAGAACAGAGTTCACAATTTTTCTTGAAACATTCTAGGCACAGAAAAACATTTATTTTAGTGAGATCGTTGACTGTTTTAATAAACAAGTGAGAGGGGTAAATTTTCTCATGTCCATGCTTGTTTCTATAGCTTCTCATATTATATATATATATATATATATATATATATATATATACCTCATACCAACATGTAAATTTGGATATAAGCAGGTAAATCAATATTAATAGGAAATTTATCAACTGCTATGTTTCATTTGCTATCATACTGACTGGTTGAAATGTAATCCTAGTTTAGAAAGCAGACCAGGAAAATGATGCAGAATAATTCTTTTGAACACTGTGAAGAAGTATTGCTCTCATTAGTTTAATAAAGAGCTAACTGGCCAATAGCTAGGCAGGAAGAGGTTAGGTGGGAGAACCAGACTGAGATTCTCAAGTCACAATCCATCATCAAAAGAAGTCAGGGCACTAACTCAAGGCAGGAACTGAAGCAGAGGCCATGAAGTGTGCTGCTTACTGGCTTGCTCAATATGGCTGACTCTGCCTGCTTTCTTATACCATCCAAGGCCACCTGCCCAGAGATAACAATGCCCACAGTGGGATGGGCCCTCCCACATCAATCAAGAAAATGCACCATAAATCTGCCCACAGGCCAATCCTATAGAGGCATTTTCTCAATTAAGATTCTTTCGTCCCAAATGACCCTAGTATGTGTTGGGTTGACATAAGATTAGCCAGTACCGTCCCCAGAGGTACTTTCCCCTCTTCAGTTAAGAACTAAATGTATGTGTATAGTCAGAATCATAATAAAATTAAAGTATGTACACTCAGAATCTTAAAAATAAAAATTTGAAGTTCAGCATGAATCTCAGTCTCATAACTTAAATTAACTGTGTTCATCAATATAAGCAACTTTCCCATGCGTTATTCAAAACCTCCTGCTAGGGACTGACAGAAAAAGAGAGAATCTCTTTCAACACATTTGCAGAAGCCAAGTAGGTAAGAAATGGCAATTAATGTTGTTTCCAAAAAAGACTGAAATGAGTAGGGCCCATGGGAAAGCTACTTGGTTCTTCTCTAAGTCCCCTGAAATCCCGTTCCAAACAACAGCCTCGTCGTGCACGCTCCTCCATAAGTAGAGAGAAAAGGCAGCTTGAGTCAAAACTAAATGGCTCAGAAATGCTGACTTTCAACAGAGAAACAGTCAAAGTCCCTGGAACAATATGAGGTACCCGAGCCACTGCTATGCCCTCCATCCTGAGAGAAGCAGCTAAATGGTCAGCCTCAAATTATAAGTGAAACAAGTACTCTCCTCCCCACAAAATCTGCTCTGGTTCAACTTTATGAAAACTATCTCAGCCTTTCAAATAAGGAAGGGTTGCTTGTTTTTTAATATCCCATGGTGCTACCACCATCCCCATCCAATGGAACACCGACTGTACTCTATACCACTGTTCTTCAAGAAAGCATCTGTCAGGAAAATTCCACAGAAGTTCAAAGGGAAAAGAGACTGACAGCATTTGAATGTCACTGGAGTAAAGGCCACCCTGAGATCACCCACAAAACAGAGATTCCATGAGTCAAAGCCCACCCTGCAGCTGCTTTATCCTGGTGAGATGGGGAAGTAAGAAATGAGAGGAATATGGCACAGCTGTGAACGTGACTGCCAAAATGATCACTAAGAGTAAAGGCCGCACTTTAAGAACTCAGAATTACCCACAGTGATGACATTCAAGCGAGTCTGCCTCCCCAAGTCTAAAGGGTCAACTTGGCTTGTCCCACCACTTACTGCTAAAGTTGCAGTTTCTGTCCCATGGGACACATAAGCTCATGGGTGCACAGTTTGAACACATCATCTTTTGCCCTAACTCAGACAAGCTCACCCTGACCT